CATACATATAATATACATGTATATAATACACATAAATATATTGTATATATATATATATATATATAATACATATCAGTACATGATCGGCGTCACTGCATATTCAAAAATAACATGCATAGATTCGGTCTCGTCGAGGTGTGTCAGTGAGCAGTGTTTGGTGTAGTTGTGTCATGTGATATGTTTGTAGTGCTTGGCCAAGCTTTTGATTGCTTTAATCGCTACCAAAGTTATACGTGGAGCGCAGAGCCACAGTGTTAGCCATGGGTCAAGTAGCTGTAGGCGTACGTGACTGTGCTGTGCTCGGTAAAGTTGTACGATGTAGTACGTTTGTAGAGTTTGCCTGTGATTTAGCCCGTTTGCATGCGTTAGTAATGCAGGCCGAGATTCTCACAGGTCAGTGTGTCTTTGTCGAGGAGCGTGCTTTTGCTCATATATACAAGGTACCGAACGTCTCAGACCCAATCCTAATTTATTCCCGTCTTCCCGATGACGTACCCTCCCCAATCTATCATTCACCATACATGCAGATAGACTTTGGAAAAGTACCGAACTTCATAGGCCCAATTCTAATTTATCCCTATCCATCCAATTACTTAACCTTCTCCAACCTATTTTTTTTGCACCTTACAGGCAGTTAAACTTTGAGAAAAAATTACAGAACTTAACAGACAATCTTAACATATCCTCATTCTTCCAACTACTTATTCTCCCTGATTTATTATTTGTACCATACAGGCAGCTAGGCTTCCGGGCAATGATGCTGTTCCAAGTAAGTCCCCAGTTCACAAACCTTGGACCCCAGAACCCTAAAACCCTCAAAACCCTAAACCTGCTGGGGATCTGGACTACCTCCTGATTGTTTCGGTTCAGTATATCTCGTTATGCGATAAAACACATACCTACCTCGGCCGTGTTTTTAAGCCTGCCAACGTGGTAGCATTGTCTATACACACGCTAGTGTACTTCCATTCCCATTGCGTACGGTTTCGGGGTTGTCGGGTATAATTGAGATATGTGCGTAAAACACGCGATCATTACCTAACTTTAGGGTTTCATGGTTTGAACCCTAAAACACAAAATCGATTATCAAGCAACCGATGATCCGATCTTGTGTTTTGTAATCCAAATGTAGTGGCCGAAATCACATCACACACAGGCGGATGCCTTTCTTTAAACCGTGTCGGCCGATAGAAATAGCCTTACCTGAAATTTTCTGGTAACTTCTTCATCTATTTATTTTATTTGACACTGACATCCATCCCGCATGACACTGCAGTATTCAGCCTTTGTGTTTAAGTGGCAGTTGCAACCTGCAGATGTATGTCTTGCTGTCCCATGCGCTCACCTTCCTTGCACCATGTGTTTGCGAACGTCTCACTCACTTCTTTGCTTCTCCAAAGCCCTATCTGCAATCTACTATAGATCACGGCTAGCTTGATATATACGCGTGTCAGTGAAGACGAAGAATATTATGTAAACAGCGTTAAGCGATCAGTGAATCTTATTTTGTACATGTTGTCCGCTTACTTGATATGTACTTCAACATTACAGGGTCTGTACTTTACATTGTTAAGCTATGTATCGATATTGTTTGACTGTACTACTGTACTACACTCTTAACATTACAGAGTCCAGTCTTTACAGCGTTAAGCGATGTATGAATCTATTTTGTAGGGGGTTTAGGGATTTTAGATGTTGTCTGCTTACTTGATATGTACTTCAATATTACAGGGTCTGTTCTTTACGTTGTTAAGCTATGTGTCGATATTGTTTAACTGTACTACTGTACTACACTATAACACTACAGAGTGTAGTTTTTACATCGTTAAGCGATGTATGAATCTATTTTGTAGTGGGTTTAGGGTTTAGGGCTTTTTGATGCTGTCTGCTTACTTAATATGTATTTTAACATTACAGGGACTGTTCTTGACTATCGCGATATTGGAGATAAGTGTTGTACCAAAGCACTACTGGTCAGACTCCTACGCAGTGGCTAAATACAGGTATGATTCATACCGGTAGAATTAATACAGGTAGAATTAATACAGGTAGAATAATTACAGGTAGAATGATTACAGATAGAATGAATACAGGTAGTTAGTACAGGTTTAACAGATATTAATACAAGTATAATCGATCACGAAATACAGGTAGAATGAATACAGGTAGAATGAATACAGATAGAATGAATACAGGTATAATATGTGTACTAGCGTTAAATACTATAGCAAATTGAACCCGAATTGAGGTCATAGATCTACGTATGCGTGCTGTTTTGAGTTCAACTGAACAGAAAGATATCTACAAGCGCACGCATTCTTGACGTATGACAAAAGTTTTCATGTCTTGTGTAAGTATGGTACCCACCCGAATACTGAAAGTCTGTCAATCCTGTTTATGTCATGTCTTGTGTAAATATGGTTCCCACCCGAATACTGAAAGTCTGTCAATCCTGTTTATATCATGTCTTGTGTAAATATGGTTCCCACCCGAATACTGAAAGTCTGTCAATCCTATTTATATCATGTCGTGTGTAAATATGGTTCCCACCCGAATCCCGAATGTTTGTCAAAAAGTTCCTGTTTATATCATGACTTGTGTTTGCAACTATCACTCCCAATATATTTATACCTTTCTGTGCTTAGCCCGTACACCGGATTCGCGACTCTGTTTATTGGGACATCCATGGTTCTGAATATCTTCGTGGTCGTCACCGTATTCGCAAATACCTATGGGTATTTGCCGCCAAAAGCAAAGCATCTGATTGGCTCGGACGTGGAGTTGTCCCTCCTCACCACATCGACTCATGTTCATAAGGTATTGCACAGATTGAATCGAAACGGAGTGTTATCAATAGTTTGATTTAATGGAGCAAGCATGTCTGTGCCAACTAGCTTTTATCGTATTTACTCAATGTCCATTTGTGTCGAAGACTGTGCGAAGATACGTGATCACATACCGAAGAAGAATAGATCCATTCTTATACTAGAATATTCTTCCCGCCTGCTGGAGTGTACATTTGTTCATACTAAAATATTTGATTTAGGTTTTATTGCATATAAGCTCATACTAGTATATTCTCCGTGACTGTTTTGTACAGGTGTTCTCGCTATATACGGCCTATTGGATGTGTGCGGGCAGCATACTGGCGTATACGTATGTGGAGAACGTCATCAAACTGCGCAAAGAGCGAAAGAAGGCAATGAAGAAGGTATGAGTGTTCATATCTTTTAACGGTTTTATAGTATTAGATTAGTTCACTATTTAGGTGCCTTAGAAAACAATGTACAGGGTATAGGCGTTCATATGTTTTTAGGATTCCATAATATATATGTTTACTGTTTACTGTTTGCATGCTTTAAAAGGCAATGGACAAGGTATGGGTGTGCGTGCGGATGTTCATACTATGCCAGTGGTCTGCGGCTTAATTGATTTTCGGATAGTGTGTGTGCATATATATAGATATATATATATATATGTATGTATATATATATATATATATATATATATATATATATATATATATATATATATATATATATATATATATATATATATATATATATATATATATATATATATATATATATATATA